CACTTGCTGTAGTCAGTATACCAAAAGGCAGAACCTGGAGCTTGCCTCAGTTATTATATCAAGGGAATATCCCGCTTTCTACTGCAAACATGCGTCTTATAAACTACCTCTTTGGCTTGTTTGGCTAAAAAAAAAAAAAGGCAAGGTGCATTTCTCATGAGAGAGAGAGGGAGGGAGGGAGGGAGGGAGAGAGAGAGAGATGAAATGTTTTTTTCCCTTTTTAAATAGTTCATGTGGAGGGAGAGCATGAATGAGGATGGCTGTCTTCTCCATAGGGGCAGAATTCTCAAGGGGGCAGTGCTCTTCAATCTATGGTAGTTTGATTTCCAGTTTATAAGCCTGATTGTTCAAGATCACATATTGTACAGAGATCCTAGGAGAGTCCTTCTTCAAGCGTTCACCAATAATATGAGGGACAGAAAATATGCTCACTTTGCACTTCCTCCTCCTATCTTTCTGTAAATCAAAATTAGAACACTTGAAGAGAATGGTGGTCTTCACAGGACAACCACTGTTACATCTGCTCAGATTGGTGGGCCATCTTCTTATAGTCCAATTTTAATAGGCAGCTGCTTTTAAAAATCTAAGACAGAGATAATTGCTTGTCCCTAATACAATATGAACTTTAAAACAATCACAGATGCATTAATACTCTGTGTCCCCATGTTCTCTTCCTCTGCAAAGCAATCTTCTATTTTTCTGGCTCATTTTTCAAAACACATTAGAATTTTGTTTGATGGTGTGTTTTGGAGCACATTATAGTGTAAAGAGACAAAAAGTGTTGTCGCTGTCTCTCTCTTTCTCCCTCTCTCTCCCTCCGTGTGTGGGAATGAGTCTATATGGGAAAAGAGAAAGGGAGAGGGAGGGAGGGAGGGAGGGAGGGAGAGCTACACATCTCTCCATCATTCTGAAGCTTCCCAATCTGAAAAAGTTCAGTGAGTGAAGTTCTTTCCAATGTTTGCCCTTGTAATTGCCCAGAAGCTGGAGACACCATGGAGGTTATAAGTCATTCCAAAAATAATGCTGTAAAATATTGGACATTAACAGAATTCTTCATGCTCAGGAAAATTTAACTGAATTTTTCTTTTTTCAGGAAACAAAAATCAAAGATAATTTAAATACATTGGTCAATTTCTCCCCTCCCCCCCCAAATGCCGAATGAATGTTCAGCATAGCACAAATAGAGGACGACTATCATAAAATATTTGTCAGGTACTCTGTTGGCTTTGAGTACTAAGTGCAATCCTAGTCTCTGTTTATTGATTAATTAGTTTAGATTTGAGTTGGGTTGGTTGGATTTGGTTTGATGTTACCCGATTCCAAAATGATTCTGAAGAACTCACAAAGCTATCTGAATGTTGAGGTAAATAGGTGTCCCCTATAAAAGGATAGTACTGACTGGTGAACAGTAACTTACATCTTGAATGTTAGTCAGTAGCTCTTGACCTTTGAGAACTGCCAACCTAGATGTGCAACTCTAAGGTACTATAACATTAGCCCTTTGAGGCAGGAGTAGCAGGGATACCAGTAACACAATTTATTGCTGTAGGGTAGAATAACAGAATCTTGAAAGTTGTCTCATTTTATACCCAAAAAACAAAACCAAGACAGGATTACTTTGAGTTTCTTTCTTATGCTCTTCACATTCTCAGGACTGAGTTTCTGTTTCTCCTTAATAGTTTGTTGCTTCCTTCCCTCTTCCCAAAACCAAATTTCTTTTCTTCACAGAAAAATATCAAAAAACCAGAGACACAAAAAATTAAGGCTTTTAGAAGTTTGAGAGGAATGAGTTTAACTCTCTTTGCTGCATAAAATAATAAAGGGAACGAAGATCTTGTAACATATTAGGAAAAGATCTTCCTGATATATGTAGGAAATGCAATTTTCATTTTTTTTATTTTTAACTCAGAAAATTAAAACAAAACCCAAAGACAAGGTCACTTGTTTTCTTTTACACTGATATTCTTTTTAAGAAATAATACAGAGATTTCTTATATGATTGAATTCTTATAATTATACATCTGAGATATTCCATAAATTAGTACCATATGAGATTTCTACTAATATCTGTATAATATAATACAGAAGCAAATATTTATGAAGTGTTAAGAATTTTCTGTTCAGAAAAAGATATCCTTAAATACTGAGCAATTATATTTAAAAATAAGTAATACTAGACAATGAAAAGCCAGGTGTATGTGTGTGTGTGTGTGTGGAGTGTTAAAAAATCAAGATGGCAGTCATGCTGTACAAAGCCCCACCCCTTTTAAAAGATGTGTTGAGTGCTTCACTTGCGTGGCCACAGCTGCTGTAGAAGAATCACCCCAAGAATTCGTTGAAACTGGAGACCAGTAGTGAAGAATCAGTTGTTTAGTACTATACTAAAGACAGAAAAATTAACCCTAAAGAGGGACAGTGATTAAACCCTTTTATGTAGTATTATACAAATTGAAATATGCATGTGATTGGGTTAAGTATATGTGTAATTCAGTAAAATCAGATAATGGATTGCAAGAGAAAAGGGGGTGGAACTGCAAAAACAACAATGTACTGAGAAAGCCATATAAATATAGTTATTTCTAGGGAAATGCTACTATAGGTTTATATTATACTGGCCTTGTTTCTCAGGGCCTTTGCTTGCTTAGTGTCTTCTCCCAGCTTTACCAATTTTGCTTGTCTTTTTAAGTAACTTATGGCTGAGATGACAAGGTTGTTTTCCAAGCCCCTGGGAAGGTAATTAGAGGAGGGGATGTTTTGTTTGTGTCATCACCATATTTTCTCCACAACAGCCAACTTCATTGTTTTAACTCTAATGTTGGATTTTCTTCTGTTTTTTTTTTAACAACTTACCTTATAAAGAGTTTTGGAGAAGCTGAAAATCTTCAAACTTTAAAGTAATGTTCTGCATATTTTCAGGCAGGTATTGAGGCCCCCACAAATACCCAGTTCAGTCTGCCTACCTATCCTATCAATATTTTCTTTTCTTTTCTTTTTTTAAAGAGAGAAGTGGCAAATTTTACCACTAGGTTTGATGGAGGTGCTGATTACTAGCAGCTGCCTGGACAAGCCCCTGGAATTTTCTTGGCAAGATTGACACAAGAACTTTGCCTTTGCCTTTTCCCCCTGGTCTGAGACTGGCCCAAGGTCATCCAGCTAGCTTTGTGCCTTAGGCTGGACTTGTCTCCCAGTATCTAACCTGGTGCCATTACTACTTCATCAAACTGGCTGTATTATGGATGACTCAGGAATTCTTATGAAACAAAAATGGCGGATGGTTGCCCACATTGCAAGTGTTTCCATTTGCTAAGAAACACCAAAGGTCAGCTAGAGTAATGGAAGGATTTCCAGGGGAGTAAGTGGGTGGTATCCACACCTCTGATGAAATGAGCTACAGCCCACCAAAAAACATGTGTACCATATAATGAAATGTGTTACTTCAAAAACTAATACTCTCTTGTCCTACAAAGAATCTGAGTATAACATATGCTCCATTGTATCTGCAAATGGAACTGAGTCAGAAAGAGTTCAATGCACAAGTAGTGTATCTGCATGAAAACTTCTGTGTTTCCTACAAAAGAGAGGAATTTCTCAGCCTGCATAAAATTTCTATGGTATATAGTCTCTTAACTTTTAACATTTTCCCAACACTCGACTGCAATTTGAAAGAATGGGGGAATTAGCTCATGTGAACATAAAGTACCTGATATGCTGAATATAAATCCACTACAACTATCACTGTAGTTTTGCTTATGGGGAAAGGAAAAAAAAGCATGAAAATAGACTTTCTTTGGTGTACCTTTTCTGTTTTGGTTTTCTTTTCTTTCTTTTTTCTTGCACTGATTGTACAATCATAAAACCAGGCAAGGTTGAACTATGAACGTGAAAGTCTGAAGTCTGTCGTGAAACTTCAGTATAAATACAACTTTCAAGTCCATGTACCTACTTTAAAAGAAAAGCATTGGGGGGGGGATGTTCTGCACGGGGAATTGATTCTGCGATCTGTATTAATCAGTCTTCCTCAACTTGTCCTCTCCAATTCAGTAGGCTTTCAGAATTCCCAGTGAGCAGGACCTTTCAACCAGTCTAAATAGAAGGTACCAGATTGGAGAAGGCTAATATGAATGATTAAGTGTCTGTATGTACTCATGCTATCATTCATCGCTAAACATGGAAAGAATTGAAAAACTAGGAAAATTAGCCAAGACAGTGAAGATTTCTCAAAAGAAAGTTTGTGATAATTGATAGACATACACCTTAAGTACATATAGTTGGGAGATTGATAGCCAGAAATATTTCTTCTCATTACCTGTAGTTGCTTTGATTTTACTAAAATAGAGTGAGAAACCTATTTAATGAATGTACCCCTCCCATCACATTTTTGTAATCCTCAAAGTTCCAAATATGCAGCTAAAATTCAATAGCAAAGTAACAAATTTCAGTAGTATGATTTTGTTAATAAAATACCCTCCAAAAAGGTATGTGAAGCTTCTCTTGATATTGCCACCATGTTCTTAAGAAGTAAAACAAAAGAAAGCCCAGCAAAATAGACACACTACAACAATAATCTGGACTATAGAAACACACAAAAAAGCCTTCCCTGTGTTGTGGCCAAAAGTGCAGAGGAGAATCAATCAGGAGAACCAGCTGATGTCTGGTACTTGATATCAAAAGATGGTTTACTCTTCTAAAATGGGCTTAACAACTTTAAAGAGACCATTCATCTCAGCAAGTTTTCCAGAGTCTCCTTTTGTAGGAAATCTGGGGTCAGTTGTAGAAACTGCTGGATCGCCTGGTACCGGCTAAGAGGCAGATTAAGACAATCACTATGATTTTGAAAACTCACAATATGCCTGTTCGTAGCTCTACACACCTGAGACAAAGCTTTTTTGTCCTTCAGAGCTGTAGGATCTGTGTATCTTTCCCACCGTTTATGCAATTCTCTTTCTTTCTCATTTATATACATAGAATGGATGTCTTCATAAGCCATTTCTATTATCCCATCAGCTGAAGTTATTTTTATAAGTGCAATATAATATAATCATTGTTTGTTTAGCAACAATTTCTTGCAGTGTTATTTTGTGCTCTGGTGAATAGTAATAGCATACAGACAGTGATATAGTTGGAGAGTTATGTATATAAAATCACCCAATTCCACAGCGCATACTTTGTACCCATAAAATTCCAGATACCATTCTTGAAATGGCATGTTCTATCTGTTTGTTCGTTGCGGCATCACTATAATCATAGGTAGGAGAAATATTTACCCCTTTGTCTTCTGCATTTATTGACAATAGTGAAGAAACAGCTGTGGTTGTGCAATAACTGAAACATAAAAGCTGAATATATGGCTTTTTCTGGAATTGAAGAGGCACAATATGTAGTTCCATCTCTCCCCCCCCCCCGTTGCTTTTTTTTTTAAGTGGGTACAAGGCGATTGGGTTAGTTGGATCCAGTTTAATCTCTGTGGGAACAATTTGCCCAACCTTCTGGATCCTGGGATGTAATCTAAGAACCACTTAAAATTTATATTTACATTTGACATTTAGAAAATTTCTCATTGTCAGTTTTCATTTAATTAACAGTCATGCTGTGTTTAGAATGTGTGTGTTACAGTCTGCCTAATATTAATTCACTAATATATAAATTAAAACTTATTAGAAGAGCAAAACATGAAAAGTTATGTAGGCAGTTTCAATATAGTTAAGATTGTTAAACAACAGAATCCTGATTAGACTGATAATAACCATGGCAGCAGTTGGCAGCTAAAAAGCCACTCCAATTAAAATTAAATTGAGAGCCACTGTTGTGTCAAAAATTGATAGATTTCAAGCTCAATGAGTAATTCCAAACATTACTTTCAAGATAAATTGGAAAAGGTTTGCTTTAGTCATCTTCAGCAATCTAGATTTATTCTGACAAAAATGAAAACAAATTTCATGCACAATTTTAGCTCATAAAATTAATTGCTTCCCCCGTCAAAAGCACCTCCAGTTATATTTGACAAATAAAAATTATGGGGCTAGGATTAAGTAAGATTAAAGTTATTTCTTGCTGTTTCCTTAAAAAAAGCCTTTTGTAACTATTTCCAAATTTTAGATAAATAAAAAAGATTGGATTTAGACAGTTAACTTTTGTCGGCTGCATGTAAAAAAAATGGCTTTCTGCTAAATTTTAAGCACTTTCGCTGAATTTTCAGTTCAACCTAATGCATGTTCACTTAAAAATAAATCCTTCTGAGTTCATGGATTAGTCCCAGATAGGTCGGTACAGTATAGTATCTTGAGTCTAAAATAGTGTTGAAACGCTAGACTAAAAACCACTAAGAGAGCAAATGAACTATATATAAATATAAAACCTTGATACAAACAGATTTGATATATATATATATTTATATATTTATGTATATATAAAATATCTTCAAGGCACTAATGTGATGGCTAAACTGGATTGGTATGACACCTTCACCTTTTTTCAAGCTTCTGATGTAGGAGATGGGATGGTGATGTCATCTTGGTATCAAGTTGTCAAGTCTTAAGATGGAGATTCTGGACAGCTGTCCATTTGCTTTCTTCAGTTGTCCCTGAAGTTTAACAGTTTTTTATTTCAGCTGTGGATGCTGAAATGTTGTTCTTGTTCTAGTCTGTATTTCAACCCTTTATTTTCACCATGAAGGTAGAACCATACTGCATAGCTTGCACAAAATCTTGCTTCTCTCCAGAGTTTGCTCTATGTCCCTATGCCAATAATCCAAGCCGGGTCACCTTGGCAGAGAGGAACGAATGGATGATGAAGACAATCGTTTTGGGACAGGAATGAAGATCTAGTTGCTGCAGTGAAGGGAAATATAGATATTGATGAGTAAGCTATACACATTTCTTCTCTTTACATTTCTTAAATTAGTCTATGCCACTAGCTGGGTAATAGCTAGCAAGTAGCAAAAACAGAAGTGTTTATCCAATTTATTGCTTCCTGAATATCTGCAGTAAAGAAGTAACTGAATCCAGTGTTGCAGGGGATAATCAGTTCTAATGTATTCATTAGTATATAAGAAGTCTACAGCCTTAACATATTACAGAACAATTTTCATTATGTCTTATAAGTAACAATAATTATAGATCAAAATTGTAAGAGCACAGTCCTTGGCTAGTTAAATTTACTCCAGCCATTCTTTATGGTGAATTGCAACAACAACAATAATAATGAGACCAGTGCTCCATCTACATTTTAAAATCTCTGCACATACTATTATATCAATGTGAGGATATTTGCATCTCTGCATAATCCATTATTTTATGTTTATTCTTAAATAATGAAGGGTCAGAAAGAAAGGAGAAGGCCTAACGATTGGGGTGGGTCAGAGCAGCTGAGGAAAGCACCCCTAAAAGTGTTTGAAGAACTATCCAAGATGCTGAATATTATTCACTGAAACCATTGAAACTAAATATTATGCATAGGCACAATGCAGAGACCAAGATTTTTCCTTGACAGGTTTTTTTTTTTTTTGAAAGCATGCTTCAAAATCAATTATTGTCTTGCTTATCTGTATGTAGCATTCTAATCTGGAATTCAAAATCATGCATAATTTTTTGGGCCTATAATAATGTTATCTAATGTTTGCTCCCTCCAGATGTATGAAATTCAACACTGGCCAATAACATTAGGAATTAAAGGAAGTTCTCATATCTAAAGACCTCCTGAGTTGGAGAACATTGACCTACACTTTATTTTCACCATATCCATGTTTTGACCAAGGGCTTTGGTCAAACATCTGAAGTCCTGAGCAAAAAGGACTATATCAGATTCCCTCAGAAAAGCCTTCTCCTTTGGGGCACAGTTTAGGAAATTACAGACAACAGTTTTCCAGAGCAGCTTCTATTACTTTTGTTTCTGCAAACGTTGCAGCTGGGGGAGCACAAGGAAAGGGGAAAATGTCTCTCAAATTCCTAGGCAAGGCCTTCCTTCCTGCCTCTGCAATAGTTCCAGGGGCTGAGGAGCTTCTCCTAAGGACATCTTTGGCACATCATCCTGTATTCAGCCCGATGCCCTCCAATTTCCACAATCTTTTGTCATCGGCTGTGCAAACAGTTGCCATTCAAAACAACCAATGGCCTAACACTACAATATAGATTACAGGGTATTTTGCTTTAAGAAATGTTTTGTGAAATAGCACAGCACCTTGCTTTTAAAAACAAAGTAGCCACATTATATCACTTCATCTTACTTTTGAGGCCCCTTCCAGATATTGGGAGTATTGGAAGAAGATTTAGACAACCTAAATGGCCAAGGAGAATCATGTTGTTCCCTTGCACAGGCCTCATTAAGATATAGAAACCCTAGATCACTTCCTGCAAACTTATTGAAAGAACAAAAGAAGAAAATAAATCTTAGTTTGTGGTAGTTAAGATGTGGATTTGGAACAGGCAGACTAAAGTTCATCACTCTCTCAATCCAACCTATTTCAAAAGAATGCTTATAGTGGAGATAAAATTACAGACAACTTCCACTTAAGCTATTTTCAGTTATCAAAGTAAAGGCTACACACACACACACACACAGAGAGAGAGAGAGAGAGAGAGAGAGACTAAATAAAACAAAAAAGAAAACCCACAATCTCTCCCTCTGAGCTGCCAAAATCCAAGTGAAGCATCTTGGCCCCATCATCTGAAGACATCTGTAGCTTCTCAAAGGGTTGCTGGAGAAGAACAACATTGGTGAGGCCTGGCTCCAGGGTGGAGATGGTGAAACCCTTGTCAATGTGGATGGACAGGGTGCAGTCCCTCCCCTTCCATGTACAAGCTGGGGGGGGGGCAGGAAAAAAAATATAAATCTACTTGTTAGGACAGGAGGCAATAATAATTTCAAGCCAAGAGAATAAAAACAAAATGTTACTTGAATTCAAATGTAATTCAAATTATAAATCAAATTACCATGAATATGATTACTTCACTATGTACCAAATTATTTTCTACTTCAGTAATAAAAACACTGAAGGAGACAAAAAGAAAAAGCATTTCAATCAGAAGTACTATTACTCATTTCTTGGTCATCAAAGATATTGTAAAAAGTATTGGCAGCAACTAACCTACGTCTTTCATGATGGACTGAGTTTGTTAAATTTGTTACCAAAACTGGCTTCTCTCGTAATGAGTTGCCCTATCCTGTTTGAAGTTACTGAATTAAGGAGCACAATAAAATCCTTGACAAAGAATGCCTAATTCTATACTGGTATTACAATGCAGAATTGGCAAGCAGAAAAGTTTCACCAAGCAGGCAGACCATGCTTTCACACCAGTTCATTAAAGTTTCTATGGCAAACCCTAAGCATGAAGCCCATCTGCTTGCTCACCAGTTGACACTTCCTGGACACACTCAGCTGCATTATGGCAACCATCCACCAGCATTCTTGTCCATGTGGCTAGGTCCCGGTGTGTCTCCACACTAAAAAGATGTGTCTCCACACCTTTCTTAGTTCCAGTCCGCAAAGCAAAAGAGAGTTCTGAGTCGTACAATAAAGAACCTTTTGATGGGCCAGAGTGTACAAGCCTGGATGGATCAGAGGTGAAAAAAAGGAAGTTTTAGATATAAAGGTCATTAATTGCAATTGGATATGGCTTTTTATCAAGTACAAAGACAGGCTTATTGTAAAGTAAAATGTGTAGCAGTCGCCAGAAAAAAAAATTAAATCATTTTTTCGTTGAGTGTGTTGACTAATTATGTGTGATAACAGCCACTAGAGGCCACTCTTGTACCATTTTTGTAGTTCCATCAGTTCCTTATCTTGCACCCAATACAAGAAAAATAACAATAACAATAAAAATAACAATATTAATTAGATCTTTTTTCCTTTTCTGGCTCTCTTTTTCATTCATGCAGAAACAGAGTTAATTAATAACTGGACTCTGATATGAAGTACTTTGAAGCTGCAGATCCAATCATACTCTAGCAATAAAAGACTGACTCTTGGAAATTATTAAAATGACTCTAGGCAATTCCTCTTTTTAAAAAAAAAATCAACAAAGGAGGAGACTTAATTACATTTAGAAATGAAATTAACATCCCAGGAAGGGCCAGGCATATGAACTAGGCCCTTAAGTGCCTGGTGAAATTGTTTCCAGCAAGAGAAAAGCAGATGTGAACAAAAGGCCAGGGCCTCTTTGGCCATAAGAAAAGAGCACAATGGAAATCCAGGGAGCAAAGGACTAATCACAAGAATCAAAAATATTCTTTCTCAACTGCAGGGGCAACCTAAACATTTCCAAGTGCCAATTACTGAGGAGAATCAAGGAAATTCTCAGCTCTCTTCAAATAAATGTTTTACCCAAATCTCAAGATAATTAAGGTGACCAACCGTCCTCCTTTTGGGAGGACAGTCCTCCTTTTTTGAGTTCTGTCCTCCCTCAAAAAATGTCCTTCTAAATGTCTTCTTTTTCTATATTTGAAGACTAATCTGCAGGGCTTTTTTTCCCTCATAGAATGCTCAGAAGGCGTTCCGGGACCTTTTTTTGATGTTTTTTTTTCAACTTTTGCCTGAGCTGTGCTACTCCTCCATTGGCTTTCGAAAGCCAATAGGAATTGCTGCTGAGTGCGCCAAAACACCTGGGCGGCAAACTTTGCAAGTGCAAGTTGCAGGAATTTTGCACCCCTCACTGCTACCCAACTACACCATCTCCTACTTAGTTCTGCAGATAGCTGGAGGAGACTGGAGCGGTAAATTTCTCTTGATCTTTCCTGTTTGGTTCTACACAGGGATGCACAGGGTAGGCAGTGGTGCTGGGGAGCCGCTGGGGGGTGGCTGCAGGGCCGGAGCCAGCACGGCTGGTGCTTTACGAGCTGCGGGGCTGGCTCTACGGGGATGCGCAGGGTGGGCAGTGGTATTGGGGGGCGGCTGGGGGGCAGCTGCAGGGCCGGAGCTGGGGCAGCTGGTGCTTTGCCTTTGCGAGCCGTGGGGCCGGCTCTACGGGGATGTGCAGGGTGGGCGGTGGTGCTGGGGGGCAGCTGGGGTGGGCGGCTGCAGGGCCGGAGCCGGCGTGGCTGGTGCTTTGCCTTTGCAAGCCGCGGGGCCGGCTCTACGGGGATGCGCAGGGTGGGCCATGGTGCTGGGGGGACAGCTGGGGGAGTGGCTGCAGGGCCGGAGCTGGCGCGGCTGGTGCTTTGCCTTTGCGAGCCGTGGGGCCGGCTCTACGGAGATGCGCAGGGTGGGTGGTGGTGCTGGGGGGCGGCTGCAGGGCCAGAGCTGGCTCGGCTGGTGCTTTGCGAGCCGCGGGGCCGACTCTCCATAGCAGGGCAGCGGTGCTGGCGGGGCGGCTATGGGCGGGGGCATGGCGGGCAATTGACCTTCCATGGGCTGTGCCAGCTGATGGTCTACGCAGTGTTAACTTGCGCTGCCACCACCTCACCCTGCGCACCTACATGGCCATCCTAGAGCATCTGGCTCACAACACCTGCCTCCGCCGCCCACCCCTGCGCAATCCAGCCGTGTAGATTTTTGGACAAGTGAGAAATCGAGATTGAATGTTGATACTCTAGCTGCAGCACTTGCTGTAAAATTCAATATGAAGGATATTTCTTGTTCAGATATTTCCAATATATTGTTAGAAGATGATACATTGACAAAAAATATTCATTCAGTGGAAAAGTACTCATTTAAATAATTAATAGGCATGTAAGCATAATTACAATATAAAATGTTATTGTTACAAATGTTTTTTATTATGCATTTATCATATTATAGTGTATTCTGTATTATTGTTGCAATAAATACAATGTTTTTTTTATTTACGATATTTTTTTCTTCAATTTATTTGTGTCCTCCTTTTTGTTGTAAAAAAGTTGGTCACCTTAAGATAATGAAATCTCACATGTATACAGGATGACTGAATGGGTGGCTTTTCTTACACCTTGGGGCTCAGGGAAATGTGCCATTTATTTAGCTTCCTATTTAGGCTGACAAGTTCTGTCCCTCTTCTATTTCATTTCATCCCTATTCAGTCTCTTGGCGCAAGGTGGCAGTAAAACCTTAGAAAACCCTTAGGGCAGCAGGACAAACATTCTATTTCTGATACAAGCATTTTTCCCTTCTAAAATTCCTGAAGACTATTTAAGATGTTTAAGAATGCCTGAACAATCAAAATGCATTTTTGGAAGAATTTTAGCCTCCCTTTTTCCAATCAAAATAATCAAACTGCCAGCCTGTGGGCCGGATGCATCATAGCAAAACTGCGCCCATCCCATTGCTGGCAGTGGCAAAAAAGTCGCAATACATCGTGACACATCATGTGACGTTGCGAGTTTGACACCCCTGCTGTAGAATGAATGGCTTGCAACAGCATAGGATGGAAGTAACTTTTGCACTAAAAGCCAGCAAAGAAACTGAGGATTGCATTCATATGGAGCAGTCTCTAAAAGCTTCAAGTTACAATATATATGGCCGACGAAAGCTCAGTATTTTTGTAGATTAAACAGTTTTGTTTATGATTTTATCCTGGTGATCATTTTTGTTTATCAATTTCATGACATGTGTATACCTGGGATTCGTGTTTTTAATATTATTAAGGATAGATAGATAGAGAGAGAGAGAGAGAGAGAGAGAGAGAGAGAGAGAGAGAGAGAGAGAGAGAGAAAGAGAAGAGAGAGAGATATGCAGGCAGGTAGGCAAATAGACAAACAATGCATTTACATGGTTGCAACAGACCAATCTTTTATGATTTTCTGACCCCAAATGTACTTCAACAAAAACATTTTGCTACACAATTGTTTCACTTTGTTCCACCTCTAGGGTGGCTGCAATGTAAGGATCAACCAGGCTGGACAGAAGACAATACTTCATTAAAGAGGGAACATTTCTTGGAGTAAGATGTTGTAACACACTATTCAAAAATGTACCTTTTCCCAAATGCTTTCCCTGGAAGAAAAGAGAACAACATCCCTAAGCCAAACTGCTGTCATTTGTAATTACCTGGTGGCTATAAGAGGGAATCTGTGAGTTGGCTTGTTCAGAACATCTCTGTTTTGGGGGAGATTGCCATAGAAAAGAAGCTCCTTCTCTGTGAGAATAGCAAGGATATTTTTTGTTCCATCACCTGGGAGCTGCAAATAAGAACGTAAAAGGTGCAGCTGTCAGAATGGCAGCCAAATTGACATATGCCACTGGAAAATGCCCTCTAAGAATGGAAGTGATATTTTTGCTGGCATCTTGTAAAAAGTGCATTTGAATAAAGCACATCACTAGGTATATTGGAGTGACAAGTACCAGAGCAACATAATCAAAGGAATTCATGGAGTTAGTATAGAATTATCCTTTTTCTATTATTCTTCTACCGACATGATTAATTTTTTGTTATGAGATCTTTAAAGATTCACAGGAAGCTACTACGTCAGTCCAGCTGGTCTAAAAAAATCTGTACAAAATGACAAATGCTCTCCTGAGTTTCATTCAAAGGCCTTTTTCAGCTATACCTTAAATGCTAGGAACTGAACATGAGACTCAGAGCCATGCAAAATCTATACTATGATAATAAGATAATATATGGTAACCTTTATTGTCATTTTTTTTTACTATGAGTACACTGGCCCATATTAAAAATGAAATTCTGTTGCCTGCAATTCTGTTGCCAGCAAGAACAACCTTAAAAATATTTATATGTCCCCACCTTCAAATGAGCAGAAACTGGGGTTAGAGAGGATCTAGTATAGGGGTCTTCAAACTTGGCCCTTTTATGACTTGTGGACTTCAACTCCCAGAATTCCTCAGCCAGGCATGCTGGCTGAGGAATTCTGGGAGTTGAAGTCCACAAGTCATAAAAGGGCCAAGTTTGAAGACCCCTGATCTAGTAGCTACCAAAAAAGGGGGATTTGCATGCAAGTTCTGTGTTGCTCACCCCTGACTTTAACATGGCTTTGTCTTCCCTGATCAGTGAATACTACAATTATTTTTCTCACTAGAATCAGTGCAAATCAAACTAGGAACCCCAATCTTACCTGTTCTGTGAGCCAGCCAATGTGCTTGATGTTTCTATTTCCTACAATGCCAAGTCCTGATTGTAAGGCCTTCAGCTCCTCTTTGACTCTTGGCAACAGAATGCTAACATTGCTATGAATAGCATTGAACCAAGACTGGGCAGATGCTTCCTCTTTTGCTCGAAGGAACAAGGAGATCCGTCCATCTGCCGAACACACTTCTAGGTACCTGCAAGATGAATTTTCCTTAAGACTGAAATGTGGGGAGCCAAAATGGAAACTGTTGTCATAAAATGCCCAGCAATTTTTCTGAATTCCTAGTTGCAAAGCCTTTGTCTTAGATAGTTCATGATCACACAGGCTCATAATTGTTATGATCTCATCAACATAGCCCCCTGCTTCTTAGGGAAACAGAGGATCAGGTCACCTTCATGTAGCATAACACAGATTCAGAGCCTTTGCTTTCTAAAGTCTGTGGTTTCGATGCAATACATCTAAATCTGTTTTAGGCTCAGTTCAGCAAAATAAATGGTTATGGGTTTGGGAACTATCTGATTCTAGAAAGAAATACTGTATTTAATTCTGAATAAGGTTAGATTTCCCTATATGGAATTGGAATAGAATTGGGGGGGAGGGGTTAAGGGCTCATAGTCGCAGTTCCTGCTCAGTGAGCATGTAGAGATGTAGCTAATAGGCTCCTTTAGTGTGCCAACTATAACCCTGCCTGGAATGGAAAAGATTTCCTTCACAGATAGTCATTCCTTAGTCATTTCTCAACTGGACTATTTACAATGCACTCTTCATAGAGCTACCCTTGAAGAGTATTTAGAAAAGTGGATCCAAATGCAGCAATCTGAATAGTCACGAGCACCTCCTAATTTGTCTATATAAAACATCACTACTTTGAGAGCTGGTTGGCTTCTGGCTTTAAGTCAAGGTACTATCACTTTTAAAGCATCTCTTGATTCAGGATCTGGGTATCAGCAGGACTGCCCACTCCCAGTAGATTCTCTTCATATTCTTCTGTTTTGGGAATGCAATTCTCACTGATCATGGTTATTTTAGTTATTAGCCCACTTCTCAGTTATTACCCCCCTTTTGGTGAACAGTATTCTCCAGATAGCCAGATGGCCCCAATTGGTTGTAGGTTCAGAAAGGGGATTAAATGTGGTTATTCCAGCAGATCTCAGCTGTCAGAATGTTGTGATGTCTTTCTCTCTAACAATGGAATTTTTTGGTTTAAGACATTAATATTCCTGGTGACTTTTTGTTTTATTGTACATTTGCAAATATTCGAATGTACACTGTTCAGAATTTTTTGTGACCAGAGTGGCCTAAAAGCACAGTAAAATAAGTAAATAAAATAGATCTATGTAGAGAGACCTTGTTGAGAATATGGAAGAATTTGGCAAAAGAAGTCAAGACATTTTTAAGTTCTGAGAAACAAGATAATTTTAAAAGTGACAATGGCTGATGCCTCCTTGAGTCACTGGGATATAAGAAAGAGGGGAAGTACAACACAATCAGACTTGCAAGATTCTGTTGTTATAGCCAGTCTTACTAAAAATAATTCTAGTCTTCCTATGGAGATAATTTCCTGGTCCAGTCTACATGTCAATGCTGCAAATACTGTATATTCTTGCTTTGACAATATGCAAAACTGTCTGGTATTTATTGGGTTAATACTTAGCTTAGAGTGGGGGGGGAAAAGCCCGGGAAAGAAAGAGGAAGTAAACTTTTGACCTTCACACTAATTGGATAATGTGACCTGGGACTGCATGAGAAGGGAGGGGTTTAGCAAGAAAAGCTTGATGCCAGCGAAAGGAAGTCAGATTCTGGCATCAACCCGTCCATCATGGTGACTGGCAAAATTGTAGCTCTAATAAAGACTTTAGGAAACATGCCTGAAAGTTCTTTGAAGTGCTTCATTAGTCGGAACCTGTGACACTACATAGTGGGGCTGACTATCTATGACACCTCTGACAATCCCAGAATTCTTTTAGGACCCATATTTAACACAGTTGTGTGTGTATTGTAGGGACTATCATTATACATCTCATTTTCCTATCCAAATGAGAAGTAATGACACTTCATGTTGACTGCTCAAAGCACTTTAATAGTAGCCTTTTAACCTCTTTAAATTATGATTGTCCCCATATTGCTGGGGCTGAAAGAAAGATGAAAGTAACTTTTGAATTATGAATTTCAAAAATTACATTATCTTTTTACCAGAAATGCTTTGTGGTGGTTGCCTGATGCCTTAGTGTTAGAATAATACTACTAGTTTACCCTGAAGGACACTTTTTTGTAAGTATAGAATTTGTCTAGTGCATTCAGAGTTGTATGAATATGCAAATCCACATACCCTTTATGCATGTGTTCAATTATTTATGTATGCTTTATCACTAATTTACAGAGTACTGTCAGTTGTAATCAAGACATTGTGCTACATGAGGTTCAATATTCAAAGAGACATCCAAGCTTTCAGAAGGCTAATTGTGAGCTTTGCTCTATATACGACTAGTCTAATCTTAATTGCTTGCAATAGTGCAATTCTAATGCTCAATTCAAATCATTCTTTGCCTTGTTTTGACTTCTGATGGAATTAATGCTATATAACTATATGTCAGACTATCATTTCTGATCACTGTATGAAAGTTAGAATTGATGAGAGCTTGAGTCCACCATTACCCTTTAATACATTCACATACCTTTCCCAACAGATGGATTCTTCAAGCATAATGACCTGAGTGATCATTGGGTTACCTGTTTTCTGGATCACTTGGAAGACACTTCCTTGATATGTAGCACATTTTTAATGGGACATTCTTCCCTTCCTTGAGGTCTTGCAGGGAAAGAGCTGGAGAAGCTTGCTTCTGAAAGCCTGGTGAAGAATCCCAACTTACAGTTGCACCAGTTGAGGAATTCTTAAAATAAGGAGAGATTTCCTTCATGTATTTGACTGGAATAGAGGAAAAACAACATAGACCATTCAATATGCAATTCATTAAGTCCAAGTCCTACTTGAAGATTGGCGAGCCATAAACAGACAACTTCTCTATAACATTTAATACCTAGATAGCAGACTAAGCAGATATCTGGCTCATAATCCTCCCTTCTTTAAGAAGAATTGCATTTTATATATTATTTATATACTTTCTTATAATTCAGTATAAAATTATGCAAAGGTCCTCTATTTGCAAGATTATTTTTCATGACACATTAGTGATTACTCCATCTGATGTTCTATACATAAATTAAAACAATCATTAACAAAAAATGAGTTCACAAGTAATAGAAAAAACAAATAATGAGATCAGAATAGATATGACAAACTTAAGTGAAAGATTCATCACAACCTTTTCTTTGGATTATTCAGTTCCTAGAGAGCATGAGCTTTTAAATAACCAACGTTTCTATCCTATCTAACCAACTATCAAATTGTATTTGTTTCTGTGATAAATACCACCAATGGCCACAGTTAGATAATACATTTGAAACTGCATGCCATACATATATATAGTGTTGGTGTAGTGGTTAGGACATTCCAGCTAGAAAGCAGGAGACTATGAGTTTTATCTTGCCTTAGACATGAAGGCAGCTTGGTGATTTTGGACCAATCACTTTTCTCAACCCAGGGAAGAAGGCAAAGGTAAACCACTTTCAGAAAAAAAGAAAGAAAACTGCAGAAACAATCCAGGAAGTTACCTAGGGTCAAGACTGACACAAAAAAAGGGAAAAAGTAATCTATTATCCATCCATCCATCCATCCATCCATCTATCTATCTATCTATTTTTTAGTCTTAGATAATGAAATAAAAATAATAAGAAATAAATCATACAAAATAAATTTTAAAATAGGGATAGCCTAAGCATGTGTAGATATGAAGAGTAATTTAAAACAAAAGATAAAAACTTTTGTGTTGTAAATCTGATTACAAAATACAACATGCATGGTCTTCCTTCTAATAAGGATGTAATTGGCCCAAAATGACAAAATTGTTTAATTTGGTTTTTTTTAATGATACATTATAAAAATAATAATCAGAATCCATGATAATTCAAACTTCAAAATAGTCAAGAAATACTTGGGACATGTAATTTTTGAAGATTTGTGTAGAAAACATACAATACTAATTTTACTAATAGAAATTATAGAAAAATCTTGATGGCTACTCAAAGCTCAGGCAAAAGGACAGATTTTTCTGGTTGCCAATTGTTTAATGTTGAAAAGCCAGAAGCTCTGATGACCTCTTCTGATGGGAAATCTCATGAAGGAGCAATCAAGTCTTTTAGAATCTGGTACCCAAGAGTAACGGTGGCAGTAACAGTGGTAGTTGTAATTTATTACATGCCACCTGACTTCCCAGTGTTTTTGGGACCTTGAAAAAATAAGCTTTCAAGGATATTATTAGTTTGTCCAAATTACAAACTGGCAATCAATGGAGAGTTTTAAGAAATTCAGTCTTGCTTCTCTTGTTGAGACACAGTTCTTGGCCTCCACATACTGGACTAATTGAAATTTTTGAATTCTTTCTGAAGATAGGTCCAAATATAACATACAAAGAAGTAAAGAATCCAAAATGGGGGTGGGATGACTGTTGCTTGAACTGACACAGTAGGTGCAGATGGCATTCTTCAAAGGTTTAACTCAAGCATTAACAAATAAGCCTGCACTTAGCAACAAACTTTTTTTTCCCCCAGCCCTGTGGTGGCCTGATAACTGCAGAATAACTTTACCAGTAGCAGCATGCACAATGAATCAATCACGCCATGACTATCACATGCCAAAAAACACTCAGCACAGATCAACTCAACCCACATTCTCAAAATGCCAATATCGTTATGCAAATACACCAGATGGTAACTAACCCAAAGCCTTTCTTTTTCGCTTCAGGCCAATTCCAATATTGATACAAAAAATAAAATAAATTTGTGTCCCATGTTGCTGCTTCTACTGGAAATGCTTCATTAAATGTATTCAGCCCAGTTTCTTTCCTTTTCTAGTTTGTGACATCCTCTTCAGAATAATCATCCCTTCTCATTAGATGGTCTTCTGATGTGTTCTAAAAAATATTTTCTTTTCTTTAAACTTTCAGAGTTTATGAACCAGGAATATGTATTTCCGATATCTATATGCCATAGACTACTCCATTCACAAGGCTTTTGTATTGGCATGTTCTCTGAACTAAATGGCTATGTGGCGTGTTTTGCAGATATTATTTTTGAGAACGATGGAAACAGGAAATTGTTTCAATGAAAACTATTTCAAGTGGTATTAGGGTTCCATGCATGAGGTTGGACCTTGAAGCTAAGTTCTGATCCTCATGATACCGTTTTTGTGATTGATGCACCCTCCAGCAGCTACTTAAACTGATTGAATGCAGCAGGGAAAGTGCTCAAAATTTGACAGTATGCTAACCAGATTACATTTTTTACACGTGTTCCCAGCATGACAGATAAAAATCCCCACCTACACAAGCTGTTTTTGACTACCAGCCAGCAGGCAGTGGAAAGCCACTAGGATGCCAGCCAACATCACACTGGGTGCATCCTTATGGGAATCTCTGTCATTGCAATGGGAAGCTGATCAGCTGATACAAAGGAGTGAAAAATAGCTCATATATGCAAAGCTACATATTTCTGTACGTATTATTCAGCAGAAATGGGACATGCAAAGAAACCCATCCATCAAACATTTGGAAGAATGAAATTTGTTATGTACTAGCTAAAAGATTAAGATAATCTTGTGCAGACAAGAAATAAAAAAACAATTAGAATGACCTAGAATCACTTTCAAGAAGAGATGGAGAGAATTACCCTTGGGGAAAAAAATCTTGAGTGGAGCATTCAGAGATGCAATAGAATGCTGCACTGTCTCTCTGTTATTCTAGAAGAAGGATCTTATGTTATAGGAAAACAGGTTCATTTCAGTTTCTCAACCTTGATGGAGTTGGGCTCAATGAACTTTCGAGTTCTCTGGTTCTATAATAATCCCACTGATGGAAATTGTGTTCTGGAAGACATGTATTGGCTATAGAGAAGCTACATTCTGCTGGTATCTTCTGCACCAAGGGTGAAAACACTCATAAAGCTAGTAAAATGTCAAGGAAAAAATATAATATTGATGATATTTTAACATTATAAAATGCTAGATACATGCTATAATGATAATATGTATAGATGTTATTTGCAATTCCTCAGAGACAGCAGGTTTAGAGTTATGATTACAAGAAATATAGCACACAGAGAAATACAAGAATAAGATAAATCAAAGTGAAGTGTGTTTCAGGTGGGGCTTAATGACAAAGCATCCATATATTGAAAACTGATACTCCACCAGCTGCCTTAACAGCCTTCACAAGAATATTTTCAGAAGCTTTTCCAAAGGCTGAAGAGGCAAAGTGAGCTTAAGCCAAGGTAGAATTCTGGCTTGTCTTTTCAGCAGTGAACTTCAAAAAACCAAAACTACAGCTGGCTTGCATCCATGATTCTTTCCTACAGATGCACATTTATAGCTGTTCTAACACTGAAAAGATTACAAGGAAAGGTATGAACCACAAACAACTCATTGTCCATCAGCAAGGGAAGTGACATGGACTTTGTTTCTTGAATTGGAATTACTTCATTGCAGCAGGTATTAAATAATTAAACCTAAAGGATGCAATAAATCATTTAGGCTTTTTTTTTCTCAAAGAGAGGAATCTGCATTCCCCACACAGAAATCTGTAAACCATTTGCTCAATGATAAAATATGTGAAAAATTGGAAAATAATTTATAATTTATATTAGTTTTGGATCCTAAAGCTGGTATTCTTTTTGTAAATTATTCTGTAACCTATATTCCTTTTCCAGATTCCAGTAGGACTGATTCATGATCGTTATTTTCTGTATTGTCATGCCTCCATTTCCTAAATCATGCACTTTGGTCATGCACTCTGTACTTCATGGAGTTTGGTTGTTATTAATAAAAGTATTATTTAACAAAATAATAATCAAAATAAAATGCAAACAAAAAAATGCCACCAGATGCTCAAAATATGTAAACCTGAGAATAGATACAATGGTCCATTTGAAACAGAGCCAGCCTGCCTGGAGCTTTTAAGTTTCTAGTAGCAGACAAATAATGTCACCGCATCTCTCTGTGAGGAAAGGGGATTTGGCCTGCTTTAAAAAGTAATAATATCCATTCCTAAGGTGGTTGATTTCTGGCGAATGACTCAGGCTTTCCTCAAATTAACTCAAATGCTTCCATGTGTTGGTGTTTCCTTTAGAAATGCAAAGTGTCTTAATGCCAAAAGTCTTTCTCCCTCCCTTCCCTCCAATTTACTTGGAGTTCAGACTGGGGTGTGTGTGTGTGTGTATGTGTGCCTTTTGGGGGGGGCACATAAAAATGGACATTAAGCACAAAGCAAACAGTTTTAGCTCCATCAGTGGCATCCCTGCATCTCAGTTTCATCCCTGGTCCTTGGAGAAACTAGAGGAAAAAATAATACTAATTAAAATAATGCAGCTCCCACTGAAAACAGAAAGTTTGGCACTGTTGCAATTGACAAACTGGGGTGACTAGGCAGTTTGTTTGTTTAACCAATTCATATAGCCATGTATCTCAGTACATGGCTTTGGGCAACTCACAGCAGTAAAACAAATAACTGTATATATAAATACAAAATAAAAAGAGAAATAAAAGACACAGTATTAAAAGCCCTCAGCATAAGCAGGAAATGGGCTGCACCACACATCCAGAAGCCCAAGTTTGACCACAGAACCAAGTCTTCAAGCCTTGCAGAAGGTCACAGTGAGGAGGCCAACCTAATCTTTGGAGGGACGATGTTCAAGAAGGTGGGAGCATGAGAGAAAAGGCCCTATTTTTCAGTTCCACAATTGATACTCCTTGACTGACCCTCCAGTCAGATTGGATAGCATGGGTAGAAACAACCAGGAGTAGATGGTCCTGTAGGT